TGCTGGACAATGAATAACAATTTGGTTGGAAATTAAATGAATGAAGGTTGAAGGGTGACTTTTGCACAGTACTGTATTTTTCCACTTTGCTGACTTTTTTTTTAACCAACAACACCCCAAAATAAAGAAATTAAATCATCACATCATTTTAATACAGTAAAGCCAGACATTTAGTAAGTGTCCTTTTACCTCTGTGTTTACCATAATTGTGGTCCAGATGAAAGACAACATGTGCTGTGCCATACTCACATAATTAACAGTTTGTCAGTGTTGTTTTTCACAAAGCTTTAGCGTACCATCATTCAAACAACAGATGCTGATTAATAACATGTGGTACATTAAATCTGCTTCATATTAGATAATCTTCAGTTTTCTGATTATGGAAATCTTTCTTATGGACTTTCTCTAAATGTTTGCATAAATAGAAACACATCATTGAGTGTTAAGATGCAAAACACTTGCAGATCCACACTGTAGCATGCAGTTGGCCTGACCTGGATTTTGTTTTGGAGGAATGCTGGGCTAGTTCAGACGAAATGTGAGGAACATATGTGAAGGATCAAATGGGTTCTGAACACATGGCAATATTACACGAAACAAGAGGATAGAGTTGAGGAAAACTCAGACTAGTTTTCACTCAAAAGATTTAGTGATCCTGGCATCTAAACCAGTAAACTAGGTTGCAGACTGAAGAATGCAGTCTAGTTACTGTCTCTTTGTTACTTGAGGTTTAAGTTTAATGTTTAAACAATACTCTTAGGGGTCTCAGTAAACCACTGAGCAATGTGGCTTAGTTTCTATTTGTGCTCCTTTGCTAGCATGTTGTTGTGGTTAAAGTTTAATGTTTGAACAATATCCCAGTATCTACAGCACTGTGCAAAAGTCAGAGACTACCCTTCATTATTTCAATTTAAAGCCATTATGCATTATTAAGCATTAATCATTTTCAGCAAAACAAGCATAAAAAGGCAGCATTTTCAGGAAAAAATCAAGTACAAATGCTTCATTATTTATTGTGTCCATTGTTTGCCTTTTATAAAGCTTCCATTCTTTGTGAGTAACTTGCTTTCAGCTTTTTAAGGACATCTGCAGGGATATTTTTCCACACCTCCAAAGTTCAGTCTTAGAAGTTCGTTGCATTTTCTGCTTCTCACAATCCAAGTAATTCCAAACACATTCAGTGATGTTGAAATCTGGACTCTGGGGTGCTCAGTCCATTGTTCTAAGAACAACAGCAGCATCTTTGTTTGATATGCAAATGTTCTTTTTTGTCTATTTCCTTTTCTCAGAAACAGATTCTTGACAGCTGCACATCCTTTCAGACTCACAGTGTTGAGTCGTCTCCTCACAGTGGAAGGATAGACAGGAACACCTGTGGATGTTTTAAGATCTGAAGCAACAGTTGAGCTGATAATTTCCTTAGAAATACCCCCTGAAAATGAATAACTTGTACTTAATGAGCAGTCTGTGCTCTTTGGGTAGCAGTTTGTTGCAGTTCCAAACTGAAGTCGAAAGATTCTGGTTTATGATGTATGTGAAATTTGCTCTAGTTACCTTCCAACCTTAGTTAGCTTTGGTTTGTGTGGTTTGTGCTCAAACTGTTTTGCCCCAATCCATAAAGTGTGGTTGAACCAAAAAACCTTGTAGCAATGTGTCACGCCGGAAAGCACCTGTCTGCTCTGCTAGTTTTTCGTGTGCGACTATGGAAAGAGCAGAAGTGCAGCATGGAATAGGCAAATAGAGGAGATGGAGCAAGTGATAGGACCTTGTGTCATGTGTGTGGTGCAGTCCATCAGCAGAGAGGGGAAGTAGCAGGCAGCACACAGGCACTCCGACTACGTAACACAGTCTCTCACATTCAGAGACACACGCGCTTTTGTGACCAGTGAAATCAGCTCATGAACAGACGTGGCTGGAGTCCTCTCCCACCATGGTGAGTAACACTCATCTTTTTTTCAGAGCTATTAGTGGGAAATGTTCAGGCATGTAGGCTGTAGATCAACTTGTTAAAGAATTCTCAGTGCTGGAGTAGTTTACAGTGTCTGAATGGCAGCTCAGAGCAGGTAATGCTGAGCTCACCAGAGGATTGCTCATATCTTCCATTTGTCTTTCCTTCTTGGCAAAATTGCATGCGGTTGAATATCCTTAATGCAATAAGCTGGTGGATAGTGTAATCAAAAAGATGGACATATTTCAGGCAGACTTATATATTTTTTTTACAGTACAGTTGAAAAAAGTTCATGCTAAGTTTACAAAATTGCGCAAAATGAAATGTTGAAACTAGTTTGGAAGTTCTAGAGGGTTTTTTCTGCAATGTCATACAACATTGTGTAAGCCAGCAATGAAGGGTTGCTATTTTTGCTTGCTTCATCAACAAAGGTTCCTCTTTGCTTTTGGTAAACTTTACATGCTTCTCCATGTATCACTCTGTCTTAAGGTGCAATCAATATACTGCCAGGGCCTGTGCCACCTTAAACAGCCAAGATCTACGGGCAGGTCCAAAATTTTACTACTCACTTCTATAACTTAAGAATAGCATACCAATTTGCACTGACGTCCATGTAGTTACTGAATAATAAGTCTTATGTAATAAGCCTGGGATTTTAAGGGGTTAAACTAGTTTGGCATTCCAACCAATACCAACTGATCTTATGTTTGCTTACGGATAGAGTCAGAATTTTTCATCAGTTCCACTCCACAGCAGTGCCATTAGGCCAAAATGGAACCATGCAGGACTTGTTTAAAGCGTTGTCATCTAAAACACTCAAATCTTTCTTTATTTCTTTTACAATCTGCATGTTTCAACTTAAATGTACTAAAATTGATCTTGTTAGTACAGTATTATACTGCAAACATTATGAAAGTGATACTTCCTAAGCGTGGAACTGTTGTCTTTTTCGTGAGGTTGATGCTTTGCATGTCACAGAGCCGGTTCTGTGAAGCTACAGCGACTAGTCATATGGCCTGTAACTGAAATTTTCTATCAGGAGGAGTCCTAAGTTCTCATGTACACTCTATTTTTATGTATAAAAAAGACTCATAGTGCTGTAGGTACTAACAACAGCACATGAGAATTCACTCATGTTTGTTCTTGTGGTTGACCACTGCTACCAACGTGGAAAGTAACACAAGGCCGTTTACATGAAGGTTCCTCTGTCACAAGTGAATCTCTCCCGTGCTACTTTACTGCTTAAAAACTGACATTGTTCTTGGTATGATTCCTTTCCAGGACATGGGAACTACATAAACTGCTGTTGCTGTGGCAATAGCGATAGTGTAACTGATATTGACCAATGCTGCTTCCTGTGTTCATAACACAGAGTTTCTCTATCCTCCACCAGCAACTGCTTTGCGAGTCGACAGCACAGTTTGTACCTCTCAAATGAGAGCCAGTCTGTACCTCTCAGCAGCACAAGAATGCCTGCACTGTGCTTATCTGTACTTCCTGGTGATAGGTCTGTCCCGATTCAAACAATGCTCATTACTCAGGGTGTGTCAGCCAGCTTCACACACCTGTCCAGCCTGCAGCCTCACTGACTCCAGGACCAATAATCCTTTACAGGAACAAAGGAACAAAAAAACAGTTGTTCTGGTCAGCTTCCCAAGCATCACTAGTAACACAAGCGATCAGTTTTAAAACCTAAATTTGTATCTTTGTGGTAAAAAAGACCTGACACCTGGCATACTAGTTCCCACTGTGTTACCTGAATGACCAGGGTTGGGAACCTATACCTTAACACATTGAAGAATACCAGTCCTCAATACAGAATCTCTCCAGATCCTCCAGAATCCTAGGCCCTCTCTTTTAAACTCTCCTCTTTAGCACATCACACAGGTTTGCATTGGGGTTTAGGTCAGGGGGCTGGGATGGCCATGTGAAAATACACTTGGCAGGTTCACTACAGTTCTGGTTGTTTTAAATGTCTCCATAAATCTGGCTGTTTTAACTGCTTTATTGCCCTACCAGTGTATTTAGGGCATGTTGCTGTAGTCCTTGTAACCATTGCCTAAGTTATAAAGATCAAAATGCTTTTATCTTATTTGTGTATTCTCTAATGTTGATAAATGATTACCATAATTTGGCCTCTGTAGCACCTCATATTTATATCCTAATGAAACAGGATGTCATAGATGAAAGCTTAAAAGTACCTGAACATGCAGGTGAACTGAAATATAAATGAAAACATGCTTAAAAAACATTTTGTTCATAAGAATTTCTAGGGGTGTCATAAATTGCGATGTGATTTTGTTAAGAAAATTATTAATTATTAAGGGTTTTTGCTTTCTTAGACTACACATACTTCAGATAAAGGTTAAGTTTTTTACATGTGGTCAGTGTTAGACTGAGTTTACTTCAAAAAAAAAAAATTTCATTAGTCATCTTCACCAAATATGCCAATAATTGTGAAGCTGACTGTGTATTGTCAGAGTTACTTATGCTTTGTTGCAACTTTATAAAACGTCTAACTCTCGATTCTACATAAAAAGTACAATTTTAAATAAATACATAATGCACTGTTGTGATTGATGAATAACAAGGGATCTTCACATATTAATATCATCTACTACCAACTCAGTTGTTCTTCAAGGACATAAGATGTCAGTTTAACCACATATACCAAGTGGACCTGGTACCAGGCCCAAAAAGCAACTGCTCATTAACGGAATTACTCTGTGTGTCTTTCACTGTTGACAGCAGTAAAATTGTTTTAGCAATGTCAGCATGTCAAACCAGATTTTTCTGTCTGCTTCTGCGTTTCGATCACTATATAAACCATGCAAAAGGCTTTCTTGCTGAATGCATGTTTTTTTTATTTCCGCGTGAGCATATGAGCTCATCCACACACAGTTTGGCTCACTAAGCACAATAAAGCTTAATAAGCTAAACTGCGACAGTGAAGCGCTACTGATGTATGAAAGAAATTCCTACTCATGTGTTTTCTTGTTCAAAATAGTAGTTTGTGCCAAAAACTGGATACAAATCTCTTTTCTTTTTAAAGAAATGCAACAACAGCATTTATTCATTGAACAGGATACATAAAGCAGGAGACGTAGCCACTTTTTGTGTTGACTTGAAGGGTTATTTATGTGACCTATTGACCTCATTGAGGAAATTGGAAGAGACAACAATAGCAAAATTCATTTTAGTAAGCGTGTACCTGAGAGTGTACCTGATTCTCTCGACTCCTAGATGTTTCAGCACTAGCAATGTTGTTTATTTGTAAGCTATGTCATTGTTAGGAATTTTACATCTTACTTCGGCTTCCATATGATCCAATGTCCAAAATACAGCCAATCCGTTATATGATATATAACAGAAGTATATATGATATATAACAGCTGTATATATGATATGTGTGTGTTTTGTGGAGGGATGCATTTTTCAGACAGCCCTTGTCCACAGTTAGCAGAATATCTCACACTCCTTGTGTATGCAGATGCAGACCAATTCGAATATCACTGTGTGGAATCAAGTCCAAAGTTCTGGAGTCGACTCTCGATTCCCACATGCAATGCCTGGAATCTGAGAGTCGAATCTTTTTTGCAATTGACCTCAAGCCCTAATGTTCAGGTAACTATCAGTGCATTTAGACTGAGTTGCCAGATTATCAAGTGGACCTTTCTTATACCTACACTTAATGTCCATTCAAGTACACCTACCATACAGGTGTACTGTGTAAGTTCACAATTTTAGACCACTAGCCCATTTGCGGCTACACAAATCATTAGCCCCTCTCTATGTCGTCTTTGAATGAAAAGGGGCCATCATAGGACCCCAACTGACAAGATGGGAGGTGGACAGCTGTGACACTGATAGCAGTGACATGTGTGTTGGCATTGGTGTGAGTGTATCAGACATAGCAGCATGTAGTTAGTGAGTGTGCAAGCAGGGAAATCACCAGTGACACATCACGGCTGAGTGAGAGCAGTTTTAGCATAAATCACTCAGTATAGGTCAGGCCAGGGAGAGGTCGGAGAGTGGGGGGGAGGTGGGTTGGAGCACAGACTCTTAAAAATGTTTCCAATTCTTTTATGATTTTTAACTTAAATACACAGTTAAAGGATGATGTAAAGACCACAGTCAGACTCAACATCAATAGCAATGCATTTAAATGATATTTTATCAGTCCCTTTCTGTCCCTACTTAAAAAGTTGTTTGGCTCAGTTTCAGTCATAAAAAAGCACTTGAGACTCGCCACTTTTTTCAATACTATATTTAACAAGCCCTTGTCCACTTGGCCTTGCCATTTCCTCTTGGGGGAATCCCCAACCCCGTCTTAAAGGCCATTGCATTACTTTATTATCTCAAGTGAAGTGTGTTAGATGAGCCCTTGTAGGACTGAGGGACTAACTGAGCACAAGTCAAATTCAGCAGCAGAACTTGGGCAGAAATCATTGCACTCTGACACATTTCCCTTTTCAATGGCAGGCAAAGCTGTTCATAAGCCATAGCGATAAAATATTTTAATACTTAATACTGCAAAACCATAATGTTCAATTCAGTATGTTCACACTGATTGGTGAGGTAACAAACTCAATCTGTTAGACACCTGTTGATACAACTTCATTATTTTACTCTTCTAGCATGAATTCCATACTAGTCTGAGCTGGTCTGTGCTTGTCAGGGGTGGTTTAGATGGTCAGCTAGGATGGTCATCCAAAACGCAACATATTTTTTGCTGCCAACTATCTATGCTGGTTCATGCTGTTTTTTTCTAGTAGGGTTCCTCTCTTGTACCGTAAGTGGTGGGTAACGTAGGTGTGACACACTTTCAAGTGGCGCGACGAAGCTGGGGAGGAATTGTTAAGAACAGTATTGAAACAGGACCTGAATCTTTTAATCAGATCAAGCATGACACCACTACAAAATGTCTGAGGCTGGATTCATGAAAGTTTTCTTAAGAAAAAACTTGTGAATGTTCTAAAGACAAA